ACGTAGTAAATAGACTGGAATCGTTCTGTTAACATCTTTGTTTATTACTCCACAGGACCCCCACCTAAAATGTTTACTACGTCAATGCCTATCCGTTCTGGGGTACTCATATGGACCCCCTTTCTTACTGTTTTATCAGCTATGCAGGGCGTTACTACGCAGCCAAAAACAGGGTTTCTTACCCTGGTTGAAGCCCTTCGATACTGTGAGGTTGGCTGGTATCTGAAGAATCCCTCTACACCGGTTTGGATCCTCGGCTCCGAGACCCACTTCACAGTCTTGGCGTCCGATAACAGAGATCTGGTGTCGGTGGAAGAACCCTTACCGGCCCCCAGCGACCCGCAGTCAACGTCCCAGCGTCAACCACGCGCAAACCTGCGACAAGCAGAGCGACAGTTTGGCAGTTTGACTGAAAACGAAGACTCTGGCTTCCTGTCGTACGAACAGTTTGAAGTACTGCTTGGTCGCCTTAGTCTGCCAGTAGATCAGCAAAGGTACCTCATTCGTATTCGATGACTGGTTTCTTTTAGCCACAGTTGCTTTTGTTTTTTAACTTTGTTCCGCCTAGACATTTGGTCGTTTTGTCAGCTGTAGAAGTATGTTTGCTATATTATGCCTAATTTAGGGGGAAGATCTTTGTGAATGTATATTGCACAGGTACAGGTGTTCAATGCAAACCTACTTGCTGAGAATCGTTAACACTTATTTTCCTATGTGCCCCATATTCTTGGGGAGCATAACAAGATAACCCCTATGCATTTTGCTCACATCTTGAACAACATAAATGATCGAGCGTGAATTGCTTGTGTTGCGGCTAGAGTTCAAGCCGCTACTAGAAACGGCGGTTATTTAAGTTTTGTTGCTGTGGGTAAGTTGTCAACAAGACCTATGCAACGAGGAGTCTCTGTGAGGCGTTGGTTGCTGTCAGCGTTCTTCAGTAATTCACCCCTATGGAAATCTCGGCCCGGTTTCTTACATTGTGTTGTGGAGCGTACGGTGGACATCGTCGAAATCGATGGCCAAACTGTCAGGCGACAACCTTAAGCAATATCATAATTAAAGCGTAACAGTGGCCCATCTAGCCTTCTCACGACGTGGCCAGTCCGTCAGTTAGGCTGGTTCAGTATTATAAAGAAGTGGAACATACTCATCCGTTCCAAAACTCAAGTTTTTGACACCCGTTTATTGCCCCGCCCCTCATATCTCTCATGGATATCCTAGATGAAATTATCCTAAGCGTAATCTTAAGTGCGGCTTGGTAAAACCTTGGATTGATATTGCCACTTATTTTCAAAGGTGATAAAATGTCGAGGACCTGGCTGGCTTTGGCGACCCGGGCTGCAATTCCATTGTCGACTTTGATGCCTTTTGGGATGGTGTTTCCTGGTTGCCTGAATTGGTCTGCAGCGGCTATACACTTGTTATTAATACTGACAGGGATTAGGTTTATTCTGCTGTTGATGCTGTTATTTCGTGATTAGTGTTTTCGTCGTGTCAGTCCAAGGAGTCCCAGACCTCGCCGCATGTCCAGTTCGATTTTAGTAGCCAGCACAGAGTAGATCTTGATCCTAGTCAGGTTCTTGGATTACTGTTGTTGAGTTCATTCATTTTCAGTCCGTCCACCATGGCAGGCATTGTGGATGGAAAACATAGTGCGTATTGACTTTATTTATATCTTTCTTTCGTAGTCGATTGCTTTCTCGCAACGTCCCTGACTTATGCGATCTAACCATGAACATAGCTGATGCATTAAGAGCAACATCTGTCGGGCATGCAATTGGATGCTCTTAAACTATTGTCAGCTGCCTGATTCAACTGATGTTGCTTCTCACTATCGACCCCAGAATGCGTTGGTTAATGTGTGAGGCCTTTAAAGTCCACAATATAAGTACATAATTTGAGCGGATGGGTCTCTTTTCTAAGTGCAAAGACGTTTATGTGTGAGAAAGTAAGCATCGCGTGATTGCTTTGGCCAAATTCTGCCTCGGAAGCCTGCATGACTGTCACATATACGTCTGTCTAAGTCAATCATTATTTGAAACAGGCAGCTAGAATCCTGGAAGTTGTCTAAAACAGACAGTCCCACTATTGCACTAGCCCACAAATTAGCAAAGATTTCCTGGAGCAGGTTGTGAAGAACAAATAGCTGTCTCGCGTCCAAAGCACTGAAACGGCGGCCTTCAGAGTCCATCCGGAGTGCTGTACTCTGGAAAGTTATCGATCCTAAGATTGCTTCCCTCCCTGTGACGAGCCAACATATGTCTCTTCACCCTACATTCGACACGCTCTAATCCACAGGATGCACCGGAAATCGTGGCATCCGGAGTTTTTCAACATAACGGAGCAACTCTCTCTTCCTTTGGAAGGGGAGTCGGACTACAATAGACCTTGATGACACTTCACTTCTGACATTTGAGCCCGTGTGCAGTACGCGTTGCACGGACCATGTGTCTCGTTATCCTGTGCGCTCAATCCCATTCCTAGTCAGACTACCGATGTGTATTAGATGGAGGAGAGAATGAAGTCGCCTCACTTTACTTCAGCGCTGGGTTCATACCTATAAACTTAATGCGCTTTTAACTTATTACGGCACACGAACACGTAGTTTGTGAGGTTGCTAGCTGAGGAGATAACTCAGTGCCGCTGAGGACGGATAATCAGGTTGCAATAGCTCATTAATATGGCTTTTATAGAACTCTCAACTATGTGAGACTCGTCGCCCTTTATTGAGGCCCTGTACGTGTGGCGTCAGGGAGCCTACCATACACAGAACGCACACATGGGTTATTTAGCTGCGTCAGCCAAGGCCTTTATGAAAGCGTAACCGTGAAAATGAGCCTTAGTTTTGGGAAAAAATATTGGGATGCTTGACCAAAATGTAACGTTATCCGGGTGGACCCGAGTACTGGATTTTTATGATCATGATACCAAGGTATCGGCATTCATTAGTTAGCTTTCTAACAAGAAACTGTTGTTTTGCCTCAATAGTGTCGAAAAGGCCAAGGGCGTCATAGACTCGGAGGGCCTGGGCATAATCCTCCGTGAACCCTTTCTGGCATACTACTACGCAGAGGAACTTCAACGGGAAAACAACCCTGTATCCAACTTCCGACTTCTCCACTACAACGGCCTTGCTGCTTCCAATTCCAACGGCGGGGTTCGTGCCTTTTGGTTTTAAATACTTTGCTTATCCGCATTTGCAGCCGTATATCGTTGCCGAAAAAGTTGTGGCTCTTACCAGTGTACAGATTTATCAGTAGCCCCCAAATTAAATCAATACCTCTCAAAAGTCCTCTTTCCTCCTACCCACAGATCCGTTATCGTTACGGCGAGGCTAATCTTCTTGACCCAGTTGATGACACAAACCCCAGCGGAAGCACGCCCCTCGATCGGTGTTTAAAGACCAAGTGGCCAACCATCAGAGTAACGTGGAGCAACGAAACGACTCCTTCGTTGAACTAGGCCTGCCCTAAACCGCCTTACACCTGCTGTGTACCTCCGCAGAAACTTCTGTTTACCTCCGCCTACCCTGACAATCTCCTGCTAGGGATCGTTTCTTCACCTGATTGTCGGGATATGGCTGCTACCTTTGCAAATGTTTCTGCTTTAACCCATTTAGTTATTTTGCTCCTACAGTGAGAGGTGTTCCTTTTCTTGCTTATGCATATTATGTGCAAATATTATTTGCTATGTGCTCACCTCTTTTTACGACGAATGAGAATTTGTTCCTGCTAAGCGGCCGGTTCTTTTTAGTTAGTGGGTTTCGATGGCGCAGCATGCATCTTAGCTACGCGATGATGCAGTTGTAGAAGAGATGATAACATGAGACAAAATAATTAATGGTTATTCTCAAAATTTAATCGTATAAAAACTGAAATCATATAAAAACTTTCAGATCAGTAGTATGACGGCCAGAGCGGATATCCCCGACAATCTTCAGCTTGCTACGCGATCCTAAACATCTCTCTTGGGGGGCCATGCGTATTTACTGATAATATCGAAGACGTATGGCTACCGCGCGAGGAAGTCGTGAACCGCTGCCGCTAGCCTCCTATAAGTCGCTGCACTCTCCGAATCTGGATGGGAGATCATAACGGGCTGGCCGCGATCGTTCGTCACCGACATCATAGGTTCGATCGGCAAGCGGCAAAGAAGAGGGATATTGTATTCGGCGGCTAGTTTTGTAGCACCCGAGTCAGAATCGGCAGTGTTATCTAGTTGCCACAAGTCTGTTTTCGTTTTGCAGCAGGGGCATACGAAGTGTGACATGTTTTCCACGACACCGATCAGGGGGACCTGTAGGGCGTGAAATTTTGAAAAAATGAGTGAAACCATAAATAGACAAACTTCAAATACTAAGTAGAAATCAGGTTTTAGACTACTAGACTAAAATAACCACGAATAAACGGAATGAAAGACCGAGGCGACTTAGGCAGG